AAGGAAAAAAAAATAGAATTTCAGTCCCAACCCCAGGGAGACCTACAATGTATTCATTTCAGGCCTGGTTTTTAAGGTCAGATTCGGCAAACTTTTGTCAGTCGATGCTCGTATGTCTACAGGCAAAGAAAGTAAATGCATTGATTTGTTTTTGAAAATAGTGAGCAAAATGCAAAACATTTGTCAGCCAAAGAAAGCACACAGCTCCCCAACCTGATTAACTCAGTTGCCATTAGTGACAAGCATAAATGTTTTCTCTGAACTTGGGGATAGCCTTGAAAATACATCTAATAATTTCCCTGGAAATCCCAAATTTAGGCCATCCCTAGACCAGATAACCGAAATATTTTGTTTTCGGTGATCTCACTATCCCTTTTCCTGGTGTTTTTAGGGGCCATTTCCCCACTGTATTACCACAATGTGCACAACACACACACACACACACACACACACACACACACACACACACTTCTTAATTCACACTAGCTTCTGGTTCTATGTTAAATAAGTTAGAGCCATAAACAGAGGTGGGTTTTCTTTTACTGTCTCCCACCCATGATACTATGGGACTGTATATCCATACGTCTCATAGTCCCAAGATCATAATTTCCCTGAGTTGGCATTAGAGTCTTAGACCTTAAGGGGTGTCCCCTGCTTATTCACTTGGGGCATTTGGGACCATCCATCTATGGGCAAATGTGGGATGAGGAATCCAGGTCTTTCTTTTCCCTAAGTTTCTATTTAGATTTGGATTTGGAAAAGGGTTGGGGAGGGCATTTACACATGTGTGGTTAAAGACTTGGCCTTTGGTTTGCTCTATCGGGGTCAGACCAGCCAACTTGATGAATCAGTGACATCACATTGGAAGCCAGACTGACAAGAGCTCTGGAATTGGAGACCATAGGGTTAAAGGCGGTGACTCCCCGCTCCCCCCCACCTCTGCCAGCAAGGCTGTATTTGACCACACAGGGTTTAGGCAGCAACTCAAGGAAACAAATGCTCATCAACCCTCCCTCCCCAGGAAGCTGCATCAAGATCATTTTCTCCATCTCTCCCCTGGGAAGCCAGATCATGCATAGTGTTGAGCATGTTATCTGGGGGTTGTTTGTGAAAGGAAAATTGATGACCTCAGTCTATCTTGGGGGAACAAGAAGCTTTTTAGAATCACAGATACTCTTCATTGCAACTCTGTGACAATGTAGGAGCCGTGACTGCCTTCTGACTCCTCAGAGAAACTGCTAGTGATTGCTGGGACATCTTCGTGGTGTATATTGTTACATTGTTTTGTTTCTTTGAAGACTGGGGGATGGTTCATCAGGAGAGGCACTTGGTGCCCTGTGAAGGACACTGGGTGAAGAGTATGGACACATGCATGCTAATGTCCATGTCTGAAGGGTTTCCATTTCAGCACCTGTCAAATCAGTGGGTGAGATCATCTCCAGAACTCTCCCAGCCCTGAAATTCTAGGAGTTTGCCTATTTCTAGTAACTTGAACATTTCATTAGGCAGAATTTTCCATTCTCTAGCTGTGCCAGATAGATGAGAAAACTTACTGAATGAATTGAAAGTCTCGAGCCAGTAAGGAAAACCTACCCACATCTCAGACTGCCTTATGCTTGTTGATGTCAGAACATGAATTATTGTGGGTAATCATCGAAGGACGTAAAAAAGAACAACGCGTACCTGGCAGAATTTGTATACCAGTACATTACAATTTGCCAAAGTGTTCTTGAAAGTTAAATCTTCCGTTACATAACTTTTTTATCACTTTCCTTAAAAATGTTCCAGTTGGGCTGGCACGTTTTATGATTTGCCTTGTTTCAGAGATAAGCACATTGTCAATGATTAGACACAACTTCCCAGGTACTTTTGAACTGCCAAGGTTGAGGTCGGGTGAGTGATGGCAAAGGAGAGGGTTGAGCACAGAAGCTGTCAATTAAAATATTTAAAAAGCAAGATGGTGTGTATGTGCCTCAGATGGTAAGATGATAGTGCATTTCAAAAACCCTACAGTTCTAAAAGAGGTAGCTCTCCTTGTGTATATACATTTACGAGAGTCCAGAAACTTTAGCATGCTGGGATTGAAACTGACGCATGCATTTCAGGGCTTTTCCTGTACAGCCAGCCACGGGCCTCAAGAAGCCACTCACTGGCCTCCTTCACTGTTGGCCCAGTGGGGTGTAACATCCCTACAAGCTGATGGGAAGTGTGTTTCCTTCCAGTTCCGGTCACGAAGGGGCCTGATAGCCTGGTACCTGGTGGTGTTTTTGTTTTTGTTTTTATTTAAAAAAAATTTTTTTTTAACTTTTATTTATTTTTGAGACAGAGAGAGACAGAGCATGAACGGGGGAGGGTCAGAGAGAGAGAGGGAGACACAGAATCTGAAACGGGCTCCAGGCTCTGAGCTGTCAGCACAGAGCCCGACGCAGGGCTTGAACTCACGAACCGTGAGATCATGACCTGAGCCGAAGTCGGACGCTTAACCGACTGAGCCACCCAGGCTCCCCTGTTTTTGTTTTTTAAAGAATTAATTTTCTCCTCCAGTGGCTTAACTACTCCAATCACAGAAACCTAACTTAAAGTTGTTGTTTTAAAGCACTCACACTTATAGCCTATTAGCTGAAAATCTATACACAGAATCTAGGCAGGGGAATGATTATTAACCTAGGGTGCACCTCTTAACTCTGTGTACACCGAGAACTACAAACCCACATGTGGGAATTCAGTGTTGCCACATCTGAACCAGCCTGCCACTGTGCTGCAACACTCTTCAGAGATTTTTTTGTTATACGTACTCACACTTGACCAATGCAATTGGCCATTAGGAAAATAAACTCTTATTAGCAAGAAATATGAAAAGGCTATTTTGGAAGAGGCAACCTGAAGTGGATTCTGTGATTTGTGAAAGCTTTTCTAAAATGAATGTGACTCACCCACTTGAATAAACGCAATTAATGTTTTAAGGCTTATCCTTTGCAATGGCTGGACTTTCCTATTCTTTAGTTGGCGTGGGGTGGGGGGAAGGTGCATTCAGTTAGGCATCTCTCTGTGGTAGTACTTACAGAGATATATTATCATGTTGTCCTCCAGGGGGCGTTAAATCTTCAGCAAAGCTCCAGTTCCTCTGGAAGGCGTTCAAACCCAGTTAGCAAAAGCAGACAGTCTGGCTTCTTTCTCACTGGGATGCAGAAGTACTGGGGCCCATATTCTGAATTTCACATCTCAGACTTGTGGACTAGGTCTTGCTTTTTTTTTTTTTTTTTTTTTAGTAAGGCTAGGACGGGTGTGACAATCCCATTGCCCCGGGGTATGTGCCAGTGTGGCCTTGCCACATTGTTCTGAATGCTCTACTACAGGTATCAGAGTGGCTGACGCTCATGACCCATGTCAGGAACCTCTTAAGAGACTATTGATATGGACAGGAACTGTGGTGCTTTCCAAGGGCAGAAATGTGATTCCTGGAGGCCCAAAGTTAACCTAAGGTGGGTTGGAGAAGGCTTTGTGGGTCAAAATTGCAAAGGATCCAACCTTCCTACTTAAGCCCCACAAAAAGCCATTGTTGCTCATTACTGTGTTAATGAGACCATCACTTGGGAATCTGCAAGCCTCTTGGTCTGGGGAACCAGCAACTTCAACAGTAAAGTGAATGTAAAGCAACGCAGTACATTGGTTAAGAGGCCCGTGGGTTCTAAAATTGACTGGATTTCAGTATCTGCTGTACTTCTTATAAGGCCTGGTTTTCTGAATTAATTACTTACACTCTTGTGTCTCTGATACCTCATTCACAAAAGACTATCTCATAGGGTAATTACAAGGACTAATTAATACAACCCAAAGAAAGTACTTGGTGCCTTGTAAGTGCTCCATAAATTCTATTAGTCATTCTTACTCCGGAGCCCAGAATTGAGATCCATGTTAGGGCTCCAGCTTTGTCTTGCACTTCTCCCCGACACAGATTCCTTCATCCCAAATACCACCCTGCATTTTTACCTCTTTCCTCCCCCTGCTTCATCTGCCTTCCTTGCCTGTATCACCATCTGATGAGATCCCACCCAAGTTCCAAGGGTTATCTGTAATGGCACCTTAAAACCAAAATGAAAACCAAAAACCAAACCCACAATTCCCTGCTCCAAGAACTGAATTCGCTTTCTCCTATCTCAGAACAGTTTCAGGGACACAGTATCTTGATATACTGGTACATACATTTGTCAAAACTTATGGAACTGTACCCTTAACATGGCCAATTTTCTGGCATGTAAATCATACCTCTCCAAACCAACCCAGTAGGAACATAATGAGAATGTCTCAGCCTTTGGAAAGAGGAACACTTGGTTCAAAGTCAAGTTCTAATACTTTCTACCTGGCACTTCGTTGGCCTTCTTTCACCTCCGTTTCCTCTTATGTAAATGGGGCAGTTGTTACGTTCTCCTTTTGCAGTGAAGGTTTAGAGACTTAATGATAGTATAAAAATGCCTCGCACACTGTTGATGCTATATTACAGTTAGGACTTTCCTTTTCAGCATAGCTATTTCTATGTTTGTCACATACACCTGCCCACCAAAAGGTGATCTTCAGAACAGAATATGTGCTGTCCTTTTCTTGTCCATGTATCTGGCATAGAGTAAAAGCAGTGTGTTTAGCTAGATATAATATAATATAATATAATATAATATAATATAATATAATATAATTAATATAATTAATATAACAGCTAAACACACCAACTTTTAGATAGCGAACATCTAGCGGCATCCCAGCGGAAGCCTCTGCAGGATGCCGGACTGTGTATTATCACTCAGGTTTGCTAAGGCTCAGTATTTTAAAGTCTGACAGACACTTTCCTTGCTCGATCATTCAGCTATGGCTTCCCCGTGTCCAGTAGGACTTAATAACACATCTTTCATTATGATAATTCTTTAGGCTCGTAAGGGTTGTCGATTTCTCTTGAAAGCAACGGAATGACTGTACTGTTTTCTGGACCAATAAGTCACTCTGTTTTCCATGGTTCAAAGTTAAGCTTTTATTTGGTTTTAAATTAAAAAAATAAATTTCATTATTAAATAGTGAGATGGATCTAACTTATGTCCAGATAGTAGCTTACTCAGGAATATACCACTGGGGGTACAATTAAGGGGTGGGACACCTAAACTAAAATTATCTGTTATGTTGTCATGTTTGTTAAAAGCTCGACAGTGGCATAATTCAAAAGAAAGGGAGATACAAAGTTTTAGATGTTTACAACGGATGGGAAAAGTAAACCACTTATTCTATTGCAACTGCAAACGAATTTCTTTCTCGGTGCCAGTCTGTTTGGATGCTATACCACAGTGCTAATGTCATCGGGCTCATCTGCTTTCTTCTGCCTGCTGGGCAGGGATTTCAAGTATTCAAGGTGTCTCCGGGCATCCTCCTGATTTTGCCTCACGTAATACACCACATATGAGATCACCATGGTGAACCAGCCAAACATGGTGACCAGCATGGCATAATCGGTAGTCTTTTTGGGGAGGTTACAAAGGTCAGCATCATTGGCAGCATTGAGGAATGGTCTCCCGGCATGCTCATCCAACACAGAAGTCTTACAGATCACATTGTGGGCTGTCTCGTGGTTGGATGCCATGCTCCTCAGAACTTGCTGGAGAGTACAGTCGCAGTGCCAGGGGTTGTTGGCGATTCTGGCCCTGGCCTTCAGGTTATTGAAGGCATTTTTGTGCACGCTTTGAATCCGGTTGTCAGACAAGTCCAGAGTCTGCAAAGTTTCCGCTACTCCTTTGAAAGCATGCTCATCGATAAACTCAATGCCGTTTTTGGACAAGTTGAGAACTCTTAGTTGATGGAGGTCCTTAAAAATCTCATTGGGGATAGATGTGATCTGATTGGAGTCGAGATACAATAAGACTGTTTCAGGAGGAAGATCTCTAGGTATTTCCTTGAGATTTGCATTGCTACAGGTGACATTTAAACCCCCAGAGGAAGAACAGAGACAGCCCTTGGGACACATACTGGCTGAATGAAAGCACAGTATCATAAGAACAAAACTTTGTAAGAGGAGACACATGGAGAGGGAACGGGTTAACCACAGGTCTACCAGATTCATGCTGGAATGTCAGCATAATCACAAGCCCATTCCTCATTCACTCCGACAAGCAAGCGTGGCAACGGTTCCAGCCTTGTCCACACTGCTGATTTCCTCCTTGCTTATTTCAAAAGGTTGCAGCTAACACATGTGTCTCTTCATTATTCCTGTCCTTGCTTGGGTACCTAAAGGAAAGGGAAGCAGAGACAATTAGCTTTTTTTGCAGAGAGAGCAATTAAAAGTGCTCTCAGGCGTCTGGCATTCTATGTGGGCAGGAGAGGTAATTTCCATTGATACCACTGGGAGATGTCTACATAATGGGAGTCTCCTGCTCAAATCCCAGGTGCTTGGGGAAAGGTCTGTCAATAAATGACATTTCCGAATCATGCTGCCTTGTTTTTAGTTGTGCAGAATTACAGCAAACGGCCTAGAATTCTGTCATCTCTACTAGTCCTCTCAACATCCTGAACCCCTTCTAAATTATATAGCAATAAAATTTAATTATGCCTTTCCTCCTTTCTACAGTTGCAGATGCATGAATGCAGTTTAGACCTCCTCTTGAGCAGCAATGAGAAATAACACTGATATTTCATGGTTAATGACCATAGATAGCAATAATTGTCATGGCTCCTGAATGGATGCTCAATTGGAATATTTTCTCTAAAGAAACATCTTGCTTGAATTAAGAAATGAATAAATGCATTCCAACCTTTACAACAAAATGTTGCTAGGGACTGATAGAACAGAATCCCCAAAAGGGTTGTCTCCCTGATTCTCTCTGTTTTCTAAACAACCTATCCCGTCCCCAATAGGTCTTCAAATATGACACACACCTCCAAGACTTTTTAAAATATAAGATAAGGACTAAAAAATATTAGCCTCTAAGACTTTCCCAATAGCTTACTTTTTTCTTTCCAATCATTATATGTATATATTATTGCTGAAATGTATATATATACATATACATGATAAATTATATATATATAATAAATTACATATATAATAAATACATAGTAAAACCTTGGATTGCAAGTGACTTGCTCTCCGAGTGTTCTGCAAGATGAACAAACATTTCTAATAAATTTTAACTTGATAAACGAGTGATGTCTTGCAATACCAGTGGTAAATGACACCGAATGTCACATGATCACAACGGAGGCAACGGTTCTTGAAATTCACTTTGATATACAAGTGCTTTGGATTACATGTATGTTTCCAGAATGAATTATGCTTGAAAACCAAGGTTTTACTGTATACATATATAATATTGTTGGAAGGGGCTTCTGAAATGTAATTAATATTTTAATATTAAGTAATATAAGTAAGGATACAAGCTTACTCAGGAACAGAAATGAGAATATTAAGTGAACCCTCCAAACTCTTTTCTCATATAGAGAGGACAGGCATCTTTGGGACCAGTTCACAGAGGAAGCAAGTGGATTTTGGAGAGATTATGTGATTCGCCCAAGGTTATAGCTCATAGGTGGCAGAGACAGGACTCACGCCAAAGGCTTTATTCTGACTTATTAATCTCCTAACACTCTCTACTACCCCTACAATGCTCTCCCAACATTATCTGCTCTATAAAGACAGTTGGGATCAAGGAAGCATTGCTTGTTGTGACTTCTGATGCTGTTATGTCGAAGCTCAACCCCAAATTCAGTACCCCATGGAGCTCGATGTCTGATTTCAGAGTGTCCTCTCTCAGGATGTGAGAAACAAGGGGAATATTCCTTCCTCTTACCCCAGTGAGTAATACATGACTTTCTGCATGAGCAACAAATGAGTATCTGCAAACTTATCTTTTCTAAAGATCCCAGATGGATAAATACAGGGGGAAATGACTCCAAATGTTACCAAACTCACAGAAGAGAAGATTAATGTGAGCTGAAAACATAATGAATGGGGTTGTTAATCATGGAAAAAATGAGATTAGCACTAGCAGAATGGAGTGGATGTGCTTTTGGAATCCCGAGTCCCTTAAATGCCAGAGAATGCTAAAGAAGGACCTCTAGGCTTACTGGGCCATCCATCAATAGCTCATTTCATTTGCAGTGAGTTTCCCTCCCTTCCATGTGTTCCTTGAAAACTGCATTGCACGACATTTGGGACTCTAGTGATTGTCTAGATGGGAGAGAGGAAAAAATAAGCAGGTGTGGAGGGGAGGGCATTCAGAGAGAAAGGAGGGTGGCAGAAGGATAAGATAAAGGATGTTAGGAGGAAGGCATGAGAAGGACACAGGAGATGGGGGACATGAACATGATTAGAGAACATGAAAAAAGTCTATGCGATCAACCAACTCCCATCAACTGAGGCTGTGCAACCAGCCTAAATCCTGCTGAAAGGTGGGAAGGCTTCTCTGGCAGACCCTCCACATCTCTCCAGAGACTGATTAAGAGTCTACCTGAAGAAAAGTGTTCACCAAGTTAGACCGTAAGTTCCATGAAGGCAGGGGCTTGTTTCCACCTCATGCGGAAACAACAGCAAACAATTAAAAAGTGCAAAGTGCAATTAAAAAGTACACTGGCGTGTATCCCAGCTTTAATCCTTATTAGCAATGTGTTCCTGGGCAAGTTATTTAACCTCTCTAAGCCTTATTTTCCTTATCTTTGAATAGAAATGATAAAAGAACACAGTTACAAAGTTGATTTGAGAATTATGTGGGATAATCCACATAAAGCATTTAGCCCAATGTCTAATAGGTAGTAAGAGCTCCACACTTGTTAGCTACGGTTACTGCTATTATCCCAGATACGTTCCCAAATGCTAGCATAGTGCTTGACATGTAGTAAGGGCTATACAAACATCTATTGTATGAATGATCGAATAACACATTGAAGCATATAGCTTTACTTTTTCTTCCCTAAGATAATTATTTTTATTTTTAATATAAATATTGGCTCTTCCAATGTCTATTGGTTTTACATGTCAACATGGTGGTCTTTGGAAAAATCATGAGTGCAGGCTCCTAGCTGATGAAAGGAAGAATGGAGCTTTTCCGGTAGGCTTCTTGAGACTTAATCTTGGTTTCTCCAGGATGATCGGCCCAATGGTCATGGTAACAGACAAGAAATGATGAGAACACATCTTGAGTTTTCAACAACAGAATGAAATACCTCTTGAGATGGAATCCAATGAAATGGTTTCACCTTGAAACCTTGAAATGGTCCACCTATACACTGAATAGAATGCCTATTAGGAATACAAATACAGAGTATCTCTTGCATTCAGAGATGCTGGGCTCAAACTATTTCATTTTCTTCCTGTCATGTTGGAGGAAAGGGAAACAAAAGCTCTGGGACTGGCTAGATTACTTGGCTGCTATGACTCAGCCTCTAGTGCTCCCATGCTCAGCCAGGACAAAGTGACAAGAGATGCAAGCAGTAGAGAATTGAGCCCTTGGATGTCTAGGAAGCAGACAGCAGGGGCCAGAGTTATTGAGTCAAGGTCATCTTCAGCAGGGAAGATGGAAGAACGGCCTCTCCACTCTAATATGCCGAATTACTATTTTCCAAAACCAGCTTGACATTGTCTTAAATTGCTGGAGAGGTCAAAAGAGGTTCTTGGAAAAGAAAGACATGGGAGGTGTGCCTCACAGTGAAAAACATAGGTATGCTTCTGACATCAGCTACCACCCAGCAGAGTATAAAGCTAAGGAGCAGCTCAAAAACTTAAAACTCCCTCCTGCTCTATTTCCAGTCAGGTCTACCCAAATATGCGAAGCAGCAAACACAATATCCTGCTAGAAAAAATAGAGTGTCTCCTTTCTAACTTCAGGAGGAGTATGTAGAACACCAGAGAAGGGCTCGGGTCACACTGGTGATGGCAAGAATAGAAGCAGCATCACTGCCCGTCCTCCTGATAAGGAACAAGATCCAATAAAGGGACAGAGCAAATCAAACGGTGCCTTCTCTACCTCTTGACTCCCCTCTGCATTTCTCAACTCATCATACTACCCTATCTTCATTCCCTTTAAATATGTCTGGGGCAGTCAGGAAGCTACTGTATTTTTGGAATGTGGTATTTAGGTATGAGCTGTGCTCCCAAAAGGGGCCATTTTATCCCTGGGCCCATGCCTTGCCCACATCTCCCCATCACATGGGTCTCCAAGGTCCAACAATTAATGCCCGGATTGGGTAGTAACTATCAAATGTTGTCTCCAGAAGAAAAAAAAAAAGTGTATTTAGCAAACTGCCTGAGAAGACAGATCTTTCAGTGGTTGATTAACAACTCTATCTTGCTTCCTGTTCCTTTCTTCTCATCATTAGGGGATAGATACCCAGGGACACTCAGGGCTTCAAACCCAAAGCTTTCATTAACTCTTCTAAGATCAGTGAGCACACCAATTCAAGAAGAAATACCAGACCGATTTCTCCCAATTTCTTTCCATGCAACACTGCTACCAATAAGGATTTGATTAAAGAGCACAATACAGCAACCCAGGAAGGCCCTTTGATTCAGGGTGGGGGGGGGGGGTGGTGGGGTGGGTGGGTGGGTTCATTAATTTTCAAATTAATGAAAAAAGAAAAAAAAAACCTCATAAGTTTAAGTACTTAAAATTAAAACTTCCATAGGGCAAAAGTAAGACCATACACAAAATGAAAGGGCAGATGCTAAAACAAAGGGTTGATTTCTTTAATATACAAGACATTCTTACCAAGGGATAAGAAACTGATCCAACAGAAAAATAGGACAGAAAAACAATATATACGAATGACCAAAAAAACCCTATGAAAAGATCCTTGATCTCACTGACACAAGAATAAATTCAAGTGAAAGTACCTAACATCTTGGTTAAAATTAGGAAAACTAGGGTCAGTGTAAGTGTAAAAAACAAAGCACTCTCAAACCCTTGATGAGGGGATACTTGGGACACTCTTTTTGTACAAGCAATGTAGGAATATCTATTCAGGTTTTAAAACATGAGAACAAGTTAGACTGACTTGTACTGATGTAAAGATCTCCAAAGATGACCTCAAAAAGCAGCTAGGAAAAAGGGGTTTATAGTCTCATCCTGTTTGTGGAAAGTTTTAAAAAGAGGACACGAATGTGCAGCTATAGGTATATAACATATGTTTGCAAATGCATAGTTCGTTTCTGAAAGGATCTGTATGGAAGGAAATGTATATGAAACTATTAATAGTGGTTAACTGAGGAGCAGAACTCAAGGGGCTGATGGGGAGAA